AACAGATCTTCCACCCTTTCCGGGTGGCCTCTCGGAGTAAGCAGAGGGAGTGCCTTCTGACAGTTCTTGTGATAGAGCACCAAGAAATACGATGTAGCAAAGGGCAGGTTAAAAAAATAACAAAATACTAAATACTGGTGAAGAACAATTGCTTTAGAGCTGAAAGAGAAACATTTAATTTTTTAATATGCAAAATTTTTAAAAATTTGATTTTTTATTTTGAAAAATATCCAAACATACAGAAAAGTGAAGAGAGTAGTACAGAGCACAACTATGCACTCATTCCCTAGATTTCACAGTTGTTACTTTAGATGCTTAATGTTGACTGTTTTGCTGAAATATTTTAAGGTAAATTACAGAAATCATGAAAGTTAATGTGTAAATATTTCAGTATTTACCTCTAAAACTTCTTTTTTTTTATAACATAACACAAGCAACATCTAATAACATTAATAATTCACTTATAAATCTAAAACTCAGTTTATAGTAAAATTTCCTGAATTTTGCCAAAAGTAATTTTACTTGTTTTGTTTTAACTAGGACTCAAATAAAGATCATACATTACATTTACTTGTTATGTCTCTATTTTATTCTAGAACATTCTTCTCTCTTTCCCCCAATGATATTGATCTCTTGAATGTGTAGACCAGTTGTCTTATAAATACTTATCCTTAGAAATAAATTTAAAAAAATTTTTCTAAAGGTTTCAAACATTAAATATTTCTACTGTGTAAAATTGTTGAACTGGAATACAATGTTAAAGATGTGATTCCACTTCTAGGCAGTCAATTTGTTCTTTTTCACATATGGTGTCTGAGGGCAGGTTCAATTATATTGTTTGGGTTTGATTCCTGGCTTCTCCACTTAGTAGCAATGTAATATTTGGTAAGTTACCTAATTTCTCTACGTCTCACTTTTCCTATCTGCAAAATAGGGCTGGCATCTACCTTACAGAGTTGCTGTGATAATGACATTAGATAATTTAAAGGGTCTTATATTGTGCTTCTAAATTATAGGCTCTCAGCTATTGACTTGCTATCAGTGGGAAGTAGTTTTGATATAGCACTTAGTAGCTATGGGTCATAATATCAATTTCTTTCCCTCTTTTTTCTTTTTTTACTACTAACCTGTGATATATATTTACAATATGCTTGTTATGCTCAAATATTATAGTAGAATTTTTATTGATTTAAAACAAATTTTTCTGAGTTCATGGCTTTATTAGAACAATTCTCAAATCACCTTAAGTTAGTGCTCACTTAGTTGATTATAATAACCTTATACATTAATAGGATTTTCAGAAATTTCTTATTATTTCCAGTCTTGATTCACTCCTGAAAGCAACAGGTTCAATTTTCTTTAAGTATTGGGAAAGCATAAGAATAACTGAACATATTATAATTTGATCTAGTGCCTTTCAGGTCTTATATTAGAACAATTCTCAAATCACCTTAAGTTAGTACTCACTTAGTTGATTATAATAACCTAATACATTAATAGGATTTTCAGAAATTTATTATTATTTCCAGTCTTGATTCACTCTGAAAGCAACAGGTTAAATTTTCTTTAAATATTGGGAAAACATAAGAATAACTGAACATATTATAATTTGATCCAGTGCCTTTCAGGTCTTATCTTTCTACTCTGTTCCCCAGCCCCATAGATTTTTGAGATTATTTTATGCTTTTTAATCCTTTATAAAAATTAGAATATGGAGAACATCAATTATTTCACTCACTGCATTACGACAGCTGTATCAATACAAATTTCAGAATTTGTTTTTATAATTTAAAATCTATCTTTATTTTTACTAAATTTGATAGTTGACTTCCTTTAGTTTTTAGAAGACCTTTGCAGGATGGGAGAGTCTATGGAATTCACTTTCAAGTGTAGATGAATAATCTGAATTTAAGAGTATGAGAATTTGGCAATGGCACAATGGAAAATTGACCTGGTGGAAAGCCCTGCCTCAGTCTTGGCTAGCTTTGTTAGGGACCATATAATCTAACTTATATCTGTATATTCAAGAAAAAGGAGAGAGAATTATGTGCACCATCTTCCGTTTTGATTTTCTGCTACTATCAATCCTAATACTTAAATGTGCCCCAAGTCTTTTTTTCCAAAGTACTTCCATATAGTTCATAATTATCAATGATCTAGAACAATCATTAGAAGCAAATACAGTGTTCTGGGAATCTGCTGGGGACACTCATTTTTCTTAATGTAACAAAGCCAGTGGACGAACAATAGATAATGGTGACATTGAAATGTTCTCAATACTGCTTTCTCTCAGTATGTTTATTAGGGGAAGGTTAGATAAATAGTTTGTACTTCCCAGTAAAATGCCTCATTTGGCATTTTCCATTTTCCCCACATAAGTTAGCTCATCAATCTTCCTTTGCCATGACTAGACCTTTTGTGTCAGCTATGTCCCTCTGGCTTCAGGTTCATAAAACTAACCCTTGTCAGCCTGGAGATCACTTTCTTCTGCTTCTTCTTTTTATTATTTTGAGGTTTCATTTTGATTATTTCTTTCTGGTTTGGGTTCAGCAAAACCTCAGCTAAATTATTCCTTTGAGTAAGGCTCTTCTTCATTGAAAGAAATTACAATTATTTTTGTAATTGCCATGTCTAGCTCTGGAGTTTTAGGCCTACTGGAAAGATGGCATTTTGTATTGAAATAGAAGACAAAGACATGGAATGAAAAGGTCTTGGACTAAAAGGGCAAAGAAAGAAACATATCATTCTACAGGGGATATAGAAGGACCAGTGGGCATTCATTCTCTGTCCATAGCTAGTCCTCGCCATAAAAG